TATAATTATACATAAAAACTATCGAAGTGACCTCACATCGAATCGCGGATAGCGGGAATCGAACCCGCATCTTCTCCTTGGCAAAGAGAGATTTTACCATTCGACCATATCCGCATTTTTTGGTTAATTTATAGTCGCTACGATAATCTGCCCGGCTCCCACTTTAGTTAAGTACCGGACCCAATATTATCGTTATAGAATAATGCTAAATTTTTTAATTCCGTAAATTTGGTTTCTTAGAATTTTTTGAAGGCAAACTTTGATTTTTTAGTTTTCGACGCCGAGGGTCAAGAGATCAGAGAATTAAGTATAGCCACCAAAAATAACAATCCAAGCCATAATGCTGTTCCAGAAAATAAGACATTTTTTTTACTTGACCAGCCCTCGGGCGAAGCAAATACAACAGGTACACCAATCAATAAGATAAATGAAGTGACAATTAATAAAAAAACAACCAGTTGGAAAGCAAGAGCCATAGGTTTCATCCTCAATGCTACCACCAAGTAAACTATACCATTTGAGTTCCCTAATCGAAGAAAACGAATAAACCACTAATAATTTATTAAATTAAAGTAGCTAACGGAGAGATGGCTGAGCGGTTCATAGCCCCGGTCTTGAAAACCGGTATAGTTTAAAGAACTATCGAGGGTTCGAATCCCTCTCTCTCCTTATTGTTGATCAGTGAATAGACATGACTTGGCTATCCGACGTAGCCAAGCCATAAAAAACGCAATTAAATATTTAATTTTATAGATAAACCAACTTGAATAATTTGATTTCGTATCTGTTCTCAATTGAGCGGGGTCATAGAAAGAACGGGTTCGAAATCCCTATCAATTCCTTTCTCAAACCCAGCTGCCGCCGCCCGAGCCCGGCCCGCGTGCCACAAATGACCAACAAAAAAGAAAAATCCTAGACAAAAATGTGAGGTTGCCAACCAACTTCTTGGAGAGACATAATTGACTGCATTTATTTCAGTAGCCACGCCTCCGACAGAATTTAACGAACCTAAAGGGGCATGAGTCATATATTCTGCGGAACGCCGTTCCTGCCAAGGTTGTATATCTTTTTTTAACCGATTCAGATCTAACCCATTTGGTCCCCTTAGAGGCTCTAGCCACGGAGCACGCAGATCCCAAAAGCGCATAGTTTCTCCTCCAAAAATGACTTCGCCAGTGGGGGAACGCATTAGATATTTACCTAAACCCGTAGGACCTTGAGC